CATAACACTTTTACCCTTTGATGTTGAAATACCCCTTTAACCCCATGATGTACACATTATACTTGAACTTCATGACGTGGACCTAACACTTTTACCCCATAGTGTGGACATATCACTTCAACCGCATGACCTGGACATAATACTTTAACCCCTTGACATGGACATAAACCTTTTACCCTATGATGAGTACATAAGGCTTTAACCTCATGACATGGACATAACCCATTTACCCTATGATGAGTACATAAGGTTTTAACCCCATGACTTGGACATAACGCTTTTATCCTATGATGAGTCCATAAGGCTTTAACTCCATGACATAGACATAACCCATTTACCCTATGATGAGTACATAAGGCTTTAACCCCATGACTTGGACATAACGCTTTTATCCTATGATGAGTACATAAGGCTTTAACTCCATGACATGGACATAACCCTTTATCCTATGATGAGTACATACTTTAACTCCATGACATGGACATAACCATGATGAGTACATAAGGAACTCCATGACATGGACATAACCCTTTTATCCTATGATGAGTACATAAGGCCTTAACTCCATGACATAGACATAACCCTTTTACCCTATGATGAGTACAGAAGGCTTTAACTCCATGACCTGGACATAACCCTTTTACCCTATGATGAGTACATAAGGCTTTAACTCCATGACCTGAACATAACCCTTTTACCCTATGATGAGTACATAAGGCTTTAACTCCATGACATAGACATAACCCTTTTCCCTATGATGAGTACAGAAGGCTTTAACTCCATGACATAGACATAACCCTTTTACCCTATGATGAGTACATAAGGCTTTAACCCATGACATGGACATAACCCTTTTACCCTATGATGAGTACATAAGGCTTTAACTCCATGACATAGACATAACCCTTTTGCCCTATGATGAGTACATAAGGCTTTAACTCCATGACATAGACATAACCCTTTTACCCTATGATGAGTACATAAGGCTTTAACTCCATGACATAGACATAACCATTTTACCCTATGATGAGTACATAAGGCTTTAACTCCATGACCTGAACATAACTCTTTTACCCTATGATGAGTACATAAGGCTTTAACTCCATCACATGGACATAACCCTTTTACCCTATGATGAGTACATAAGGCTTTAACTCCATGACATAGACATAACCCTTTTACCCTATGATGAGTACATAAGGCTTTAACTCCATGACATAGACATAACCCTTTTACCCTATGATGAGTACATAAGGCTTTAACTCCATGACATGGACATAACCATTTTACCCTATGATGAGTACATAAGGCTTTAACTCCATGACCTGAACATAACTCTTTTACCCTATGATGAGTACATTAGGCTTTAACTCCATGACATAGAGATAACCCTTTTACCCTATGAAGAGTACACAAGGCTAAAACTCCATGACATAGACATAACCCTTTTACCCTATGATGAGTACATAAGGCTTTAACTCCATGACATAGACATAACCCTTTTACCCTATGATGAGTACATAAGGCTTTAACTCCATGACCTGGACATAACCCTTTTACCCTATGATGAGTACATAAGGCTTTAACTCCATGACCTGAACATAACTCTTTTACCCTATGATGAGTACATAAGGCTTTAACTCCATGACATAGAGATAACCCTTTTACCCTATGAAGAGTACACAAGGCTAAAACTCCATGACATAGACATAACCCTTTTACCCTATGATGAGTACATAAGGCTTTAACTCCATGACATAGACATAACCCTTTTACCCTATGATGAGTACATAAGGCTTTAACTCCATGACCTGGACATAACCCTTTTACCCTATGATGAGTACATAAGGCTTTAACTCCATGACCTGAACATAACTCTTTTACCCTATGATGAGTACATTAGGCTTTAACTCCATGACCTGAACATAACCCTTTTTCCCTATGATGAGTACATAAGGCTTTAACCCCATGACATGGACATAACCCTTTTACCCTATGATGAGTACATAAGGCTTTAACTCCATGACCTGAACATAACCCTTTTACCCTATGATGAGTACATTTGGCTTTAACTCAATGACATAGACATAACCCTTTTGCCCTATGAAGAGTACACAAGGCTTTAACTTCATGACATAGACATAATCCTTTTACCCTATGATGAGTACATAAGGCTTTAACTCCATGACCTGAACATAACCCTTTTACCCTATGATGAGTACATTAGGCTTTAACTCCATGACATAGACATAACCCTTTTACCCTATGAAGTGTACACAAGGCTTTAACCCCATGACATGGACATAACCCTTTTACCGTACGATGAGTACATAAGGCTTTAACTCCATGACATGGACATAACCCTTTTACCCTATGATGAGTACATAAGGCTTTAACTCCATGACATAGACATAACCCTTTTACCCTATGATGAGTACATAAGGCTTTAACTCCATGACTTGGACAGAACCCTTTTACCCCATGATGAGTACATAAGGCCTTAACTCCATGACATAGACATAACCCTTTTACCCTATGATGAGTACATAAGGCTTTAACTCCATGACATGGACATAACCCTTTTACCCTATGATGAGTACATAAGGCTTTAACTCAATGACATGGACATAACGCTTTTACCCTATGATGAGTACATAAGGCTTTAACTCCATGACATGGACATAACCCTTTTACCCTATGATGAGTACATAAGGCTTTAACTCCATGACATAGACATAACGCTTTTACCCCATGGTGAGTACATAAGGCTTTAACTCCATGACATGGACATAACGCGTTTACCCCATGACGAGTACATAAGGCTTTGACTCCATGACCTGGACATAACGCTTTTAGCCTATGATGAGTACATAAGGCTTTAACTCCATGACATGGGCATAACACGTTTACCTCATGATGTGGACATAACACTTGAAGTCCATAACGTGGACATAACACATTTTCCCTATGATGTGGAAACAGCACTTGAGCCCCTTGACGTGGACATAGCACTTTAACTCCATGATGTGGACATAACACCTTAACCCCATGATGTGGACATAACACTTTAACTCCATGATGTGGTCATAACAATTTAACCCCATGATGTGGACATAGCACTTTAACTCCATGATGTGGACAAAACACTATAACCCCATGATGTGGACATAACACTTTAACCCCAGGACATGGACATAACACTTTAACCCATTGACGATGACATAACTCTTTAAACCCATGACGTGGATATAACAGATTAGCTCCATGAAATGGACATCATCCCATAACTCCATGAGGTGGTCATAACACTTCAACTGCATAACATCGACATAACACTTTAACCCCATGAGGAGGCCATAAGACTTTATGTCCGAGACATGAACACAACACTTTTACCCTGTCAGGAGGACATAAGGCTTCAACCCCATGACATGGACATAACACTTTTAGCCCATGACGTGGACATAATACTTAATTCCATGATGTGGACATAACAATTTCACTACATGCCATGTACATAACGCTTTGACTCCTTGACATGGACTAAACACTTTCACCCCATGATGTGCACATTACACTTTCACCCCGTGACGTGGACATGACACTTTACCTCCATTATATGGACATAACACTTTATCCCATGACATGGACATAACTCTTTAAACCCATGAAGCAGACACAATACTTTAATTCCATGATGTGGAATTAAAACTTTAACGTCATGGCATGGACATAACACTAAAAAGATGACATGGATGTAACAAGTTAACCCCATGACGTAGACATAACGCTTTAACTCTATGACGTGGATATAACACTTTTACCACATGACGTGGATATAACACTTTTACCACATGACATGGACATAACACTTTAACTCCATGACATGGACATAACACTTTAACTACATTACGTGCAATGAGAATTCAATTAAATTTATGATTGAACAATAGGCATATTTGGACATGGCAAAACCTATTTTGTTGCAAATTATGATTCAGAAAAAACACAACATTTTGTTTAAGGATTGAATATAAGACTAGAAAAAGTAACAAGTTTATCCTGTATCCTGGTTTTATGTTTTGAATGAAAGCAAGTCTGTAATATATATATATATATATATATATATATATATATATATATATATATATATACATACACACACATATATATATGTACATATGTATGTGTATATATATATATATATATATATATATGGTGTCGAGTGTTTAACCTTGACCTTGGCATCAAGTACAGACATTTTTTCCCTTCACAAATGCCTAATTCGAGGATCTAATGTTGATTAATTAGGCAAACATAATTGATGTACAATGTTAATAAGTGCTATGCATCTTGAAGGGAGATTATAATTCCATGCAAAAAAATAATTATGAAAAGTGAACATAGATGGATGCAGTCTATTTATAGTAACATCATGAAAAAAGATCTAGAAGTCTTTGGTATGGCTATAATGTGTGTTACAAATAGCTCAGAATTTACTTGCCAGTTCATTTGTATTGCATGTTACTTTATAACTATAAACATTGATAGTTTTACACTGTCATCATGCCTCTGCTTAGTGATTGCAAAGTCACCATCTTCTAGTTTTATTAAATATATTTCCATGCTTAACATCTGGAGGACATTTATATGTATTTGGTAAATTTCTGTGTTCAAATTTATTCATACATACCCAGATTTGGTCCACTTTGACAGAAGCTTGACAGCTGACAGCTGTTTGCTTACATAGCCACGGTACTATCTTCTTACAACTGCTTTTGTGAAGTAAGCCGAAAACAAAACTTGGGTCCCTTTTTTTGGACACCCTCAAAAACTTATTTCCCCATGCTTGATTTTTCTTGGGTTTTGTACACAACCAGGAGACACAAGACCTGGATTCTGTGCAATAATTGGGTTGTTATCACAAATGCCCGGGTTAAATAAATGTGACCATGTAGTTTCTACTGGACTAATTCACCACTGAACATATTTTCTTTCAGGCTAGCCTGACATGTGTCCCAACTACTCGTGCCTGGTGGTCATCGCTATGTGTTTCGTTGGGTCAGTTCAGTCTTTGAGTAAGTTTGAATTGACATGTTCCCTCTCACACACGTTCATTCATTCATTCATTCATTCATTCATTCATTCATTCATTTATTTAAGAAGCGGTGAATGTAACCTTACCTGTCATCGGGACACGATGACATAGCTCGTTGCTTGTAGCACCAGTCTTATTGTTATCATTAAACAGCCCCCGCCGTGATATTACTAGTATTTTGCTAAAGGCGGCGTAAAACCAAACTCACTCAATCAAACTCTCCCTGAGGTGTCTATATGAATGGAACTGTTTAAAACTGTTGTTCATTTAAGACCATGACCTGTTTTTTTCCTACTTTAAGTAATGATTACGTTGGTAATAGTTTGTGTCGCTGTTAATTTTGTTGGCAATAAAAATCACAGTAGGTGTAAGCTAGAGAAAGTTTCATCGACTTACCTTCAAATATTGCGGAGCAGTGGCGAAACAAATGGTTGTGCATGCAAATTGCCATGGAAACGATTCTTGCCTTAAAACAGAAATGGTTCGGGAAACATTTGGAGAGGGTATTGAATTAATCGTAGAGCTTAAGGTCTACATTTTGTGGTTAAAGGAAAATGGCAAAACAAGCCCTAACAGCACGTGCAGGATGTAGGCATTTGCCTATTATCACACCTGTGCCATTTACCTGATCAAACAAGTAATGCTTCGACTACAGTGTCAGCAGCCAGGCTAAAAACATTTCAGTGGAAGAACTTGGCACTTTCAATTAAATAAATATAAATGTGTTCATTGATAAATCTTGATTATTGTAGCCAGCATGTTTTACTAAAATGAAGGTATTGCACTTTGTTCACATGGGGATTTTAATAAATATTTTCGCCCATAAAATATTTACTCCATCACGTGTCCTCAAATGTGAGGAAAGTTGTTTCTTTTCTTTTATTTTAGTAAGTTTGATTATTTTGCGGTAAGGCTTAATACATTTACTGAGTACTTATGTTTTAGATATTTCGCCATTTCGTCTATTTCGCCACTTATTTGATCTTTTCATTTGTGCCATGCCACCTTTGGAACTTTTAGAATAGTTGCAGAAACTACTCAACCAATGCAACTACTATCCCAACGTCGCTGCAGTATTGAAATCGAATTCGAACCTTTCATAATCTTGGACCTAAATTTCAGATTGCTATAGAAATATGACAGGACGCACGGATGTTTCGTGGCGCGTGGTTTTAATACCATTTTGTTAGTAGTTTGATTGTATTTAGGTCGTTTAATCGATGCAAAATAAGTAAATATTTTATAATTTTAATTTAACGGCAGCTTGCTCCCTCATTCCGAATTTGGCTCAACGTGTATTAAATATCTCCAGTGCTCGAACATAACGTTAATTTATATATCTCCAGATCTCCGGTGCTCGAACATAACATGTATTTATATATCTCCAGAGCTCCAGTGCTCGGACACAACGTGTATTTATATATCTCCAGAGCTCCGGTGCTCGAACATAACATGTATTTATATATATCCAGAGCTCCAGTGCTCGAACATAATGTTAATTTATATATCTCCAGAGTTCCAATGCTCGAACATAACGTTAATTTATACATCTCCAGAGCTCCAGTGCTCGGACACAACGTGTATTTATATATCTCCAGAGCTCCAGTGCTCGAACATAACGTTAATTTATATATCTCCAGAGATCCAATGCTCGAACATAACGTTAATGTATATATCTCCAGAGCTCAGGTGCTCGAACATAACGTTAATTTATATATCTCCAGAGTTCCAGTGCTCGAACATAACGTTAATTTATATATCTCCAGAGCTCAGGTGCTCGAACAAAACATGTATGTATATATCTCCAGAGCTCCAGTGCTCGGACAAAACGTGTATTTATATATCTGCAGAGCTCCAGTGCTCGAACATAACGTTAATTTATATATCTCCAGAGTTCCAATGCTCGAACATAACGTTAATTTATATATCTCCAGAGCTCAGGTGCTCGAACATAACGTTAATTTATATATCTCCAGAGTTCCAGTGCTCGAACATAACGTTAATTTATATATCTCCAGAGCTCCGGTGCTCGAACATAACATGTATTTATATATATCCAGAGCTCCAGTGCTCGAACATAATGTTAATTTATATATCTCCAGAGTTCCAGTGCTCGAACACAACGTGTATTTATATATCTCCAGAGTTCCAGTGCTCGAACACAACGTGTATAGAGAATTTACAAGTGTGTGACGGTAAACAAGACTGTGCTGATGGGAGAGATGAGGAAAGTTGTTGTAAGTATTCTACACATGGAGTACACTCTTCCAAAAAGGAGGGGCAGTGTGGTAGCATTGTGGTTAAAGCGGTCGGTGGTCACGAACTGTTACCGTGGCTATTATGTATGAAGCCCACTTCTAATGTCCCGTCGTGATATTGCTGAAATACTGCCAAAACCACGCTCACCCACTAGTGCAGGGGCTTGTGTAGCAAATGTATTTCCCAAGGAAGTGTATGTTGATTTTTGGAACCATTGATAATTGTAACCAGTATTTTCTGATGATTATAAGTGTCATTCTGGGGCAACTGAACATCGGTACCCATAGTCCAGCTGCAATGCCAATGTGAGAAAAAAATATTTTTATATACCTACGACAATATAGGCATGTAGTATATCAAAATGTACTTTGTGATGGGTGTTTTACAACTACCATTACATATCATGCCTCTGAATACTATATGTATGCATAATAATCACTATAATCATAACTGCCCCTGCCAAAACCGTAGATTTTGCAGAGGGTATGTATCCAATCCTCTCTCTCTCTCTCATTTCGTGATGTAATGATCCTATTCTTCGTAAACATGTATGGAGAAATGATGTTGATATTGAGCAGCCAGTCAATTTGGGACGAGATCATTGCCCATTGGTTATCGTCTGTATGGATGAGATTGTACAAGGTGTTTTTTGAGACCCCCCGTCCTCGACATAGTTCAAATCGCCTAGACCACCATCAAATGCTGCGACCATCACTCATTTATCATTATCGTTACAGACGAAATTGTATTGAGTGGTGTTTACAAGTCCCCTGGTTTCAACATCCTTTAAATCTCTAAGTTACCAACACCGTCACCGGAGGCTGTCACTTCTTTCCGCGTGTACACGTTGTTTTGTAAGTGCAAGGCATACGACTTGCCTCTCACACTGGGTTTGTCAAATCCCGGTATGTCCCCTAGATCAGAGAGTGCGATCGTGGCACATTTTCTAAGGTGGTGCATTCCGGGACCTTGAGTGTTCATTGTTGATATGCAGGATCATGCTCAAATAGCCTATATGCATTGGTTTATGTTTTATATGTAAAACGGATATTTTGAGTTTCATGATCGTACCCTGTGCTAACTTTGGTTCAATTCTGCCGCTGTTGTACGTTTCGTCTTTCACCTCAACGGTTCTCAACAGACTCGAAGCACATTCGCCTTGAATGTTATCCATCATGCTAATCTGATCGAGATGAATTCACAGCTCTTGATATGGTACAAGATCCAGTACTTTCAATCTGGTCATGGACGAGAGAGAGGGTAGTTCGTTTCCCGTCAACCAAATTGTTCTCGCCAAGTTTTTACCGAGTCTCTGGGGATCTTTTCCGCTGGTTAATGTGAGTGTTCCACTCGACTGAGACTGGCTCGGATGGGTTTGAAAATTTCGTCGTTCAGCAAACAAACACTGTAATAACCATCGGAAATGATGTGATTGTCTCTGTTTAAAAATAGCTTGCTGTTGTTTCTCAAATTGTTTATGTTGGTCCATCACAGGTAATACATGATATCGCAGAGTGTGGCATCAAGTCAACACGATGTGTTATTTTTTTTTGATTGCGTGAAGCAGTTGTGCTTAATAAACATGTTAAATATAAAATGACAATAATATGTTAAATATATATTGACAATAATATAAATTCAACATGAGTGATGTTCGTGCGCTTTCCCAGTCTGGGTGCAAATGACATCATCGTCGCTGGCATTGCACACCTGTTTTTTTTACATCGTTTTGATTTGCGAGACAGAGAACGACTCTTGCGAAACATTGGCCGGAAGATTGTCACGCAAACAACGATCAAAATCAGCTGGAATGAGGTGGTGGGCATCGACGACAGCAATGTGTCTTTCGATTACATGGACATCTGGAGAACTGAGGGCAAATGGTAAAACATGGTATATCAAGGCATCTGCCCGGACAGCTGTAATGCAACTAGGTTGCACACAGGGTTTGCTTTCACGCAAGACAATCTCAAACATGTAACACCGTTCGAAACTGGTTTTGCATTCCGCTCGACTCCTTGAGGGAGACATGGCATTTTACCAGGCCATGCTGGGCGACTGGCTGGAATACAAACTCACTTTCAATGACTTCGGAAATGTCATCTGCACCGGTGATGACAACAGCATCCACACCATCTACACCATTTTGTTTGAGTTCGATGTGGTCTCGGATACAGGACCTTGCAGATTCGCAACCAGTACGTGGGAGAGATATTCATCTTGTATGATCGTATCCTCTCGCACCAGAAGATCATCAAGGAACATCAATCTGAACGTGCCGGCTCGATTGATGAAGGGTATTTTTTATCATCCCGGTGAGGGAACACTATTCGTATTTGAACCCCCGAGATCATGGAAGTGTAAGTGACCGTCGAGAGCGGTCAGCCATGGCATGAGGGCCCACCAACAGTGGGATGAGATCCGAAAACTGCTAGTGATCAAGTGTGCACCGTAAATCAACGTTGTCGTCAAGAGTCTGGGTCTCCACTACATGCCAACTTGGGATTACCTGTTCAACAGGTATGCATTGTGGCTGAACATCCAAGGAGGACGATCGGCTTTACAGCAGTGGACGTCACATCAAAAACGGATGCCAGGGTATCACGATCCAAATCACCAAGGTTGCCCATCAACAAAACGTACACGGAGAGAGCCTTGGTGATGAACAATGTGGAGGTGCATATGATTGATCCTGGAACGCGTCTGCAGGACTGCTTGCAAGTGTTTCATGTCAAGTTCAAGTGCAAGTCGATGCTGTTCATTGTAGACTGCAGTGTGAACAAAGAGATCGTCAAAAAGAGAGACATGCTGTCGTACCTGGCCTTCTCGGGCAGCCACATGAACCACAGCATTTGAGTGCTGACATAAAAATTCAACTCGGTGCTGAAAGACTTCTGGGAACAGACATGATGGGTGGCCCTGGTCCATTGCAAGGACAGGGATTTGTTCGAAGAATGTCTGCGGAAAAACGACGTGATTTCTACCAAACCTGTGCGAGACCACATGAAAAACTGCTGGCCAAAACGAAACGCACATAACACTTACTGAAAACAGACCAACCCTTGGCATATACAGTGTGCTAACTAAGCTGAGTTCAAGACTCGGTGCCAAAATGATAAAAAAACATACGGTCGGTCATGATGTAACACTACCTGGACATGGCTTCGTATCTCCTTCCCATCCTGCTGGAACATCGGCTGTACCTGTGCAAAGCCATTGACGTGGATCTGTTCATCAGCCACGCCTTGAGTGCTGTCAGTTGCGAGCTGTGCCACCAGTAAGGCATGTCCTTGGCTCCCATGACCGTGGCTATCATCACAGTGAAACATTGTCGATTTAAAGAAAAAAATGTTTGCCAAACAATATACGAGATGCTGTCTACAAACAACAAACGATCACGAACCTGGATGTTGCAACAACGACAAACCCAGATATTGGGACATCGACGGAAATGACGGTGGTTAGGGTAACAAAGAACCCCCTAAAGAACAAAAGTAGCCGCCGGTAGAAAAGGCAGTTTGGCTCGAAAGGCAAAAACCCAGCACAAACATGAATCCTGTATATTGCAGCAGTGATGATACTGCATGGCTATACTCGAAACAAAACTCACCCAGCCCACTGACAGCTGATCCACCGCTGAAACAATTAGAGGTAAATCCACCTATATTTTGATATATATACATGTCTACTCCCACTGATCGAAAAACATTCTTCAACGACCCGTATCACTCCGCAGTGGTGAGCAGTCTAGACATCAACTATTGAGCGTAACTGAGCAAAATGATCACCAAACTACAAACTCCCAAACGCGATTTCAACACATACGACATGAGCATGCTCGTCATAGATCTGGGACTGGCGGAATGAAAACGGCATGATTTCGCCCTCGAGAGACTGCAGGCTGCGCAAACAGACTACGCGAGAAAATGCATGCAGAGAATTGATTTTATCAATGATCATCTCAAATGGGAAGGTCACACCTTGTGAACCTTCAAGGACGTGGACGAGACCATGAACGAGTATTATCTCGTCACGGGAAAACAATTGAAATGGGTCGGCCACACGCCGACGATCTCACAGTATTACACACCCTCCCAGGGTAGGAAAAACGCGAACTGACCTTTCGTGGCGTTTGGTCTGGGCGTGTCTGTACTTCTCACCAAGCAATTAGATTAAAATATTTTTATATGTGTATAACGATGAGGCCCACTCTGTATCATTGCAAATTCGTCCTCCTGGGAAAAGCTGAGACTTGTGGCAAAAAATGCTTGACCGAGTACTGTGGCATCCACTTCATGTTGATAACAGAAGGTAACATGAACTACATGTGTTCGGTGTGCAGAGTGGGGGTGAAATGTCATTATCGCCTGAGTGAGTGAGTGAGTTAGAATTTAACGTCATCTCGGCAATATTTCATCCATATAGTGACTTCAGAGTCAAACAGGTCATTACCCAACCCAACTCGATTGATTCAACCACTGATGTGTCTTTGCAAAAAATACAGGAATCCTTAGAACGATGGACGCACGGGGGTTCTGGAATGGTGGTGTGAAGTATCGACACCATCAAGTTGGACATAGCGAACTACATGCCGCTCAAAGGGGGATTTTACATTGACAAGAATAAACAAGCCATCCTCAACATCAAAACTAAACTAAAGAATAGGCCCGAAGACAACGGGCTTAAAGGGCATGGCATAGACGAACCCACACCCATCTCCCAAATCTCCCAAATCGAAAAGAACACATTTCCAGGATTAACACATTCCTGGTCGAAAAAGAGGGTCAGTTTCACTATACAAAAATTGAAAGTCTGTGCAGGCTCTTAAACAATCAGTCGAGGCATAAAGAGAAACCCCACATCTGTGAGTGGTGTCTGAACGGTTACAGTCGAGCGGAGGTGCGGGGCAGATCGCGATCAGGATCATCATGCCGAAAGAAAATGACAACATTCTCGAATTTGTCAACCATAA